TACGCTTTAACTTTCGAGCGCTTTGCTTTCTGAGGGACGTGGAAACCGAGGGAGCGGAGCACTGTCCAAGAGCTGCCGACGCTGAGCATAGCGAGCTGGAGTCCTCCTCCCCCCGGGCAGGAATGTCGGCAGGCTGCTGTCGTATTGGGAAGCTGAGGGGGGACCTTATTGCCCTCTACAACTACCAGAAAGCAGCTTGTAGTGGGGCAGGTGTTGGTCTCTTCTCCCAACTAACTAGCGATAGGATGAGAGGAAACGGCCTCAAGTTGCATCAGGGGAGGTTTACATTGGATATGAGGAAATATTTTCTGTACTGAAAGAGTAGCAAAGCATTGGAACAGGCTGCGCGGGGAGGTGGTCGAGTCGCCATTCCTGGAGGGGTTCAAAAAATGTGTAGCTATGGCACTTCAGCACATGGTTTATCAGGCATGGTGGCGTTGGGTTGATGGTTGGATTTGATGATCTTAGCGGTATTTTCCAACCTTAATGATTCTATGATTCTAGATACCATGTCTTGAGACTCCATTATCATTTAGGGTAGAAGACACGGAACGGCTCTGGATATTCATGCTCCGTGTCCAGGAGGGCTGTTTTCACCACCTGCTGTTTTTCTTCCCACCCTAGCTTTTGCACTCCATGCCTGCAGGAATGTCTTAAGCCAAAAAAGCCGGTTTGTGGAGTCTGCCGCAGTACCCTGTCACCTGGTAGCAGAGCTCTGGACTTGGAAAAGCAAATTGAAATGACAGAAACCACTTGCAATGGCTGCAATAAAAAAGTATGAAAGTATTTGGAAATAAAGTCCGTGAGGTGTGCCCGCTTGGCTGTACTGCTTAGGGGGAAATAAAGTGCTTCCTCTTCCACTTTCTGCAGAATCAGCTCAAAATGTTTGTTCTGAAAGTGCTATAGATATTTTATATAAGCAGCACCCAAATGTTGACATTCTTACCACAGTTTTTTATTGTTACCTCTTCAAGAAGTGAATGTCAAATAAAAGATACTATTTTAAAATTATAGTAAAATACTACTTCTGCAGTTGCTTCTGTGAGCATGTCGCTGTGGGAGGAATGTTGTAATAAAACAGTGGTTGTGGTTTTTAGATAGTGATCTCTTTGGCTCTTAAACAGAAATTCATTTGCTTTGTTTGAAATAGTTATGAGCCAAAGTTGTCTTAGATGGGTGGTGTATTTGATAGACTTACTGTTTGTTAATGTCCTGCATGCTGGATACCTGTACGGCATCCTTTCTGTCGCTCCCTTTCTCTTTGTAAAGTTGGGTTTCTTAGCGTTAACTGAATTTTAATAATAAGTTAGTTTTCCTAATAAGCAAATATCTTGGCAGATGGCAAAACAGCAAGAAAAGGATAATTAGACACACTAAGGTGAGGGTAACAGTTCAGTTAATTTCACTTTTTATTTTGGGCAGTGTCTTCATTCTGTCTTCATTCCAGCTGA